ACCTTGACAACTAATAATACCCCGTTTGGTTTATACAGATACAAGTTTTTGCCTTTGGATTTATTTCTCCTGCCATATTTCAACAAGTTATGAATGAAATTACTAGTAGTATGCCTGGTGTTGAAGTACATCAAGATGATATTATTTTTCATGCTCGTGACAAATCCACTCAGGACGCACGATTGATTGAACTCTTTCGTAAGTTTCCTGACAAAAACGTGGCTGTTAATCCTAAGAAGTGTTTATTTTCTGTTTCTCATTCTGAATGTCTTGAAGATCTAGTTCATGGCAGGGGTTACAGACCTGACCTAAACAACCTGCTTCCTCTGATGAAACCCAAATCACAGTCCAATGTACACGATCTAAGGTCCCTGGTTGGAGCCTTACAATAATGTTCTAGATTTATCGCTAATGTCAGTCAGAAAGCCTCACCCCTATTTCTGCTCTCATCTTCTGACAAATTAGTTTGGATATGAGCATTGCTTACGTGAATTGCTAAATTTTTTGCGGACTGATGCTGTACTTCACCCATTCAATCCCAAAATTCATTCCACTATTATTACTGATGCATCACCTGATGGAATTGGTGAGATTCCTGAACAGAATGGGCATCCAATTATTTGCGTGTCTCGCCGGTTAACAGCAGCTGAACGAGGCTATGCTCAAACTCATCGCGAAGCCTTAGCTGTATATTGTGCAGTCAAGCGCCTCCACAAGTTCCTTTTCGCTTATCATTTCACCATCATTACCGATCATGAGGCCTTGAAATTTATTTTCGACCCTGGGAAATCCGTTTCCAGAAGCTCTGCAAATATAGTTCAGCGTTCGCGTATCTCACTCAGTGCATATGATTACACAATTGAACATCGCAGTGCCAAATACATCTGACACATGGATTACATTTCGCGTCAATCGCTACTTGCTTCGGACCGAGAGGACATTTCTGATTTACTACTAGTACAACCTATTCCTATGAGCCGCCAAGAACTTATTCGTGACACACGTCGTTATTTCTCTGCTGTGATGACTGCTTTGCGGAAAGGTTGGAATGCACAGACCCAGAAGCAACTTCCATATAACTATGCTAGACGTGAGGAACTTTCAATTACGCCTGATAGATTACTGTGTTTGAATGACAGAGTTGTTATTCCACCGACGTTATGTAAAGCTGTATTGACAACCTTCATTCCGGCCATTTTGGGATAGAAAAGATGAAGTCATTAGCTAGATTAACTTATTGGTGACCAAACATGGATGCCGACATATGTTCCAAAGAAAAGAGCTGCCCTAAATGCTACCACAAAGCTCGAAAGTCTTCAGGTCGAAGAATGCATCAACTACTTGTCAAGGATGATTTGTCTATACACAAAAGATAAGTGGACCAAGTTTATTTTGAAGATCCAAGTCAGTCTGTTTCGTTTGATGATGAAAATTCCGA